CTAAAATTCTCAAGCTATTTCTTGAATTTACTGCATATATGTATATAAACTTAAGAGTAAATTACTAATAACATCAAATCTTAGTCAACAATAGTACCTTAAAAACTCAATGAAGGAGTACTACTTTTTAAATGAATGAAACATGAGATTAGAGGCATGCAGGCCTTTGTGAACCTCTACATTCCTTAGACCTCATTCTAGTGAAGTTGAATATGGCCGTGAGTCTAAGCTCCTTATAGTCTGCCCTCCTCTACCCCGCAGCGCTCACACAAGGGATCTTCAGCCACTCCCATCACGTGCAGGTGGCGCCTTAACGTGTTAAGGTCAGACAATAGTCCCGCCAGCAACCTTAGGTTGGCTATATCCAAAGATAAGCAGAGAGTCCTGCTTGGCCTTGTAGCGCTGGGCCTTACAATGAGTTCTCGTGCCTAACGGAGTTGTCTGGAGATGCTTCTTCATTTCTGAGAGTGTTGTCTTGCAATCAACTTCTCCATTTTCTTAGTAACTCTTTGCGCGGGCACCCCTAAAACTGGCTCAGGACCAACGAGTTTGCTGGCTTACAGCTAGAGCCAGAGCCTCCCTGCATTACAATACAAGGCTCGAAGTAATCTTACAGACACTTAGTGCCTCCATTGCAGCCTGGCTGTCGGAGAAGGTTGATATTCTTCTCCTAGGCCCAGTCCCCTCCAAAATGAGGAATGCACAAACCAAAATCGCAAACATTTTCACCAGGAAAATAGTGGTGTATCCACCAAGAGGCAGAGATAGCCTAGTTCTAGGCCCCGAGATACCGGCGCCAGAGCCCTCGTCGGTGACCGAGCTGTCCGTGTACCAGACTTGCCCACTCACTCCAGAGAACCTCCGGCAACCGGCGTCCCACTCCTCCCTCGTTGGATACTCCGCATTAAACTTTCTCAGAAGGACGGAATCCTCTCTTTGCAGTTCGACTAAGATGGCAGTATGACCCTTGACAGGATTCAAAAAGGCCCAGCTGCCCTGACTCCACAGTCAGGTGGGGGATTCAGAAGGGGTTGCACTCAATGGCGTTGTCCGCACGGCGCTTGTAATGCTGATACAGGCCAAATGGTAAATTCTATTGAGTTTGGCTTTAGTTCCCTCAGTTCCAATGCAAGGCCACCAAACCGGAGCCGTACAAGAGGGATGGACGCACTATCGTCGTGTAGAGCTAGTGAACCACTTTGGGTTTAAGCCCCCACCTTACACCGACAACGCGTCTGCAAGACCACAATGAATTGTGAGTCTTGTTAACCTTGAATTCAGCGTTCTCTCTCCAGTTCTGTTTGCAGTCCAGGATAATTCCTAGATATTTTACTGACTGGATAGAACTAATCTGGTTCCAAAGAAGGTCGGCATGACAAGCGCGTCGAGCCTTCTTCACGTAGTGAATAGGATCAGCTCGGTATTTCCAGCGTTGACAGAGAGATCGACTATTCCGCAAAAACGACCTCTAAATACTATGCTTAAGTCATCAGCATGGGCTTGTACGTAGACACCTCCACTACTGAGCCTGACTACTGTTTAAAACATTAATTAGTAATTATAAAACATATAATAAAAAAAAAATAATTATACATCAAAGGAAAATTAAGGAATATCAAAATACAACAGTAATAACACAGCGACAATATTGATTTCAAGTGATTGATTAATTATTTTCAAATAACTGAAGGACCATCCATAACAGCGTGATAAAAATAAATCAGTCAGTCAGAGACAAGACGACTTCTAATGTCGGCTAAAACAGTTTTAAGCGAATCAATTTAACAAAACGCGTTCTCTCTACTTAGAACTAATTGTCACTGATATTTATTTTTGGACACCAATCAATTCTAATTGCAAAAAACGCATTTAATAAAAAGTAATTTTAACTAGAGAAAACGTTTTGTTACTAAGAACGGGTTTTACATGTAACACACAAAGATTTACCTGTGTTTTAATCAATTAATTTACTTTTTTATGTTGAAACTTTGCATTTTGGTGGTTGGCATATATTTTTTTGGATGGACATTTTACGGGTTAACTGGTAGAATAGCTTATGCTAAACTTCGTCCAATAAAGACGTTTTATTATTATTATTATTAATAATAATGCATGAGTACAGAACAGCAAATAAAATTGTGTTGTGAGTGCAACAAATTGAGTTTTTTCCATAAACTAGATATTGCGCATATAATGATATGCGAATATTCAAAGGTGTGAATCTACATAGAAAATTAATGTTAGCTTGCTTTATAAACTATGGTCCAAACATTTTTCCTTACAAAAGCTCGTTTTGTTGAAGCTTTAAGAAAAAACTGGAAATTAATTATTATTTTCAGAACCGCTTCAGATATTTCACTGATAGTAGTGGAAGTTAATAAGGTTGCAGATTTTTCAATGCAAAAATAATTTTTAGCTTAAACAGTGGTGTGCGTACGGGTATTCTCTTCGATATTTTTTAAGAAAAAAGTGGTACGTCAATGGTTTTTTGGAAAATGAGAATTATTTTTGAATTCCCCGTTCAATTTGAAAATGTTTTTCTTCGATGCGCCATTTTTGAGTAAAAAAATAAAAACGTTCTGTTGTCTAACTTGCAAAATTATTATTAATTTAATTGGAAAAATTAAATACATTAAAGGTAATGAACAACAACAACTGACAATATAAACATAACATTAAAACCAACGAGATGACTACAAAAATTGTGGAAAATGACCCCCTTCACGTAGCATGCTTGCTTCCGCCCTCCTTCTCATGGAACTGCGCACTCGTTGAAATATCCCTGGAGTGTTTTTTATTCTATCACAAGCTGCAACTATTCTTTCTCTTAATCCCTCTACAGGGTTGATAAAACTTGTGTACACTAGTGTCTTAAGATAGCCGCGCAAAAAGAAATCTAAACTGTTGAGGTCCGGGGACCTTGATGGCCTTTCTTAGGGTCCACCGGGGCCAATCCAACAATTTGGATAAAAAATTTGTAAATAATTACGAATCGCTACACTGAACTGCGCTGGTGCACCATCACGCATGTACCACATATTGTTTCTTATTACTAACGGAACATCATCAAGCAGCAAAGGCAACTGTTGTTGAAGAAGATTGAGGTAAGTCTGTCCGTCAAATCGCCCCGGCAAGAAGAATGGGCCAATAAAGTGGTTGCCAATAATTCCTGCCCATACGTTGACCGACAATTGGTTTTGGAAATGGGTTTCGGTTACGGCATAGAGATTTTCTTCTGCCCACAAATGATTATTGTGTGAGAAAAATTAGTTTCGTCCATGAACAGAATCCTTGATTCAAATTGCGGATTTTGTGTAATTTTTTGAAGATACCGCTCACAAAAGGTCACACGCCTTGGAAGATCAATGGGAAGTAATGCCTGTACTCTTGAAATTTGGTAACGATATAACAAAAAATCTACTAAAATTCTCCAAACGATTTGATGGAAAGTATTTAAGTGTCTAGCGTGCCTCCTCAATTTCAGGTATTCTCAAACTTAAAGGTCTACCGTCAGATGTTCCTTTTCGGACAGAACAAGTTTTAACAAGACGACGACGAATATTAGAAAAGGTTCGACTATCTGGCAAAGCACGATCGGGATACCTCTGATGATAAATCTGTCTGGCTTGCTCGCCATTACCGTCGGCAATGCCATATACGTAATGCATTTCCGCCATTTCTGCATTTGAATAATTCACCATTATTAACTAGATTGTAAAAACTAAATAACGAAAAAGATGTCACAGCGAACAGATTTGAATAACAGAGACTTGTCAGATCTCAAAAGCCCGTGACATATTCCAGGGCAACTAGATATTTATTGCTAAATTGCATTCTTCAATTATTACATTAATTTCCTCGGACAATAGAACGGTTTTTATTTTTTTACTCAAAAATGGCGCATCAAAGGAAAACAATTCAAGAGAGATCATTTGTTTCAAATTGAACAGGGAATTCAAAAATAATTCTTATTTGTCAAAAAATCATTGACGTACCATTTTTTTCTTAAAAAATATCGAAGTCAATATCTGTACCCACGCCACCGTTGAAGTTAAAAATTATTTTTGCATTGAAAAATATGCAACTTTATTAACTTTCAGTACGTACTAAATATCAGTGAAATATCTGAAGCGGTTCTGAAAATAATAATTAATTTCCATTTCCTTCCTAAAACTTCAACACCCCAAGTTTTTGTAAGGAAATATTTTTGGACCATTGTTTATAAAGCAAACTAACACTAATTTTTCATGTAGATTCACACTCTTAAATATTGGCATATCATTAAGGAATACCTTGTATATTTTAAGTTTAATTATAAAAATTTGTTGCATATGCAACACACTTGTCACATCGTTCGGCTACCTACAGACAGCCGAATTTGATACTGCTAACATATGACGGACAGTTTGTTTAGTGGGAACTCTTGAGTATCATACAGTAGAACAACAACTAGAAAGTGTACCAATAATCTATTTTTCATATATGCTGATTATTATTTTACCTTCCCCTTTTGTCGACATAGAAGTTTTCTTTTAGCTCGCAATCCATATATCATGAAATATAAAAAACAAATCTTGATTTCAATTCTTTCTTCCTTTATTCGCGTAGGAACTTGAATACCATTTTTTCCTTTACTTGCCAATACCTTTAACGCCACTGGACTGAGTTTCAAAAACTACAAAGCTTTTTCGTCCTGGTATAATATTCTAACGAAACCACCGTTTTGGATATTTATTTCGAATCTGACGAATTCCAGAGCAATCCCGCGTTTTATCGAAATTCGAGGCTTCTCGGATGCTCCCGATGTTGGCCGATCCAGTACTTCCTCACCAGTAGGCGTGGGAACTAAGCAGAATTGAGGTTTCCATGTTCCTAAGATATCCATTAGGCAGATTTCCAAAAAGTTGTACATTTGTGATAGTGTTGCACAGCTAGTTACCTACTTATTGTCAGTGCTTTATCTAGTAGTAGTAACTTTACTAAAAGCATATTTTTTTTAGCTGATTGTGCCAAAAAAGAGGACTGCGCTTCTAGTGAACAGACTGATGCTGGCCTTAAACGAAGCAATGAGGGATCAAGACAAATCTTTAGACGATCTTAGCTTCGAAGACCACAAAAGGTACCGTGGATCTACAGATGATTTCAGATCGGTGAGTATTTCCGTTGAAGTATAATCCCATAAATCCGGAAAATCATAGATGACAACCTCGCCTCCATTGAGGCTTGTCAGTGCAGTTTTGCAGTATACATACTTCTTTACAAACATATCCATGGCACTATAGATTTCAGTACCATCACACAACTTAACTGCTTAGCCAGGCATAAGGCAAACTTCCATCCCATGGTCTCTCAGAGAAGCTTTGCAGGTGGGCGACTTCCTCACTGGCCCCAAAATATCCATCGTCATCGACAGGTTCTCGTATTCGATCCAGAATGTCAACACGGGTGTTCCCCAGGGATCGGGCTTGGCTCCGATATGGTTCTCCGTACATACCAACGACCCCCTTTTTTGTACGATCAATCCAATCCACAGCTTTGCTGATGACATTTCGGCTGCCCGGAGTCCAGAACACTGAGGGCTTGATCTGGCACAAACACATTAACGGCAGCAGCTTGGCTATTTGTTCAGAGCTAAGAAGTACTTTTCTACACATAACCTTGTACCCCTGTACAAAGCCCAGGTGAGACCCAGCCTGGAACACTGCTAACTTGTTTTGTGGAGAGCCTCTAAAGGACAGCCACGAGACCCTTTCACACCGACGAGCCGTCAGCGGTTTAGCTCTCTGCTATCGCTATATCAACGAGCTTTGCTCCTCAGGGCTCATCTCCATGACGCTTCCGCGCGATGTGCTTGTCAGGCAGACCATTTTGACTTTGACCTCCCATACTAACCGTGTTGTACATCCAGAACTGTCCAACATGACCGTTCATTTGTCTCTCGGATATTGAGATTGTTCAACTAACCTTAGGCAGTTCAAAAATCGGATAAACAAAGTTTCTTCAAGTTTCATCACATATGGCATTTAGACTTCTACCTACGAGGAAGCTTCGGTATTTAAAAAAAATCGTAGATGATGTAGCCTCCGTTTAGGCTTGTCAGTGCGGTTTCGTAATATGTCGGTGGATAAAAGATACTGAGACTTACTAAGGGTTCAATTACCTGGTTTTTTAAAAACGGTGGCCGAAAGGTTAGTAAACACTCAATCCCACATAGTGGTTTCGCCTAGCTGCTAGGAAGACATGGATATTGATTAGCACGAAAGCAGATATTTATTATTATACTTGATAAAAACGTGTGAAACTCTTATGACGAGCACTGATAATGTAAAAAATGTTTTTTTTCAAACCTGTTTTAACAGATTTTGATCCACTTTTCTCCAAAAATTAATCTTCGTCCGTATCACTTGGCTAGAGTTAAAATGCTCCTGTGTTTCTTTATCTTGGGGGGTGAAAAATAATACATTGCGTTATCTTTGACATGTACTCAATACTTCCTTGAAAAGTAATGCATAATACATTCCAATCAACCATTCTATACATTCTAAATGATATATCATAAAGAGAGGGTATTGCAACATAAAAAAGGGATCAATTATAAGAGGTGAGTTCAGAAAATAACGGGAGCTATCGTTTTTTGGAAAAAAAAATTATTTATGTAAATTGTTGGTGTAGCGCTTGCAAAATGGACCCCACCTTGAGCCAGCGCTTCTTCCTCAAAACATTCATTGGGATAGCTTTCAGATCTTTCATTGCCATTTTATTGTCGCCTATTACGCTTGTAGAACGACGGCCCTTTAAATTTCTCTTTATTTTTGAAAATAGGAAAAAGTCACTCGGAGCCATATTTGGCGAATGTGAAGGCTGGGACATCTTTACAGTATTCTCTTTGGCAAAAAATTCACAAACATGCAATGGAATGTGAGCAGGTGCATTATCCTGGTGGAAAAGCTGTGAATTATTTTTCCACAAATCTCGGCGTTTTTTTGAATTGTTTTACGCATACAACGATGAATTTGTGGAAGTGCTTCTTACTGACTGTTTGACTTCGTGGAAAGAATTCATGATGTACTATGCCAATAAAATCGAAGAGCACACTGAGCATAACGTTCGCGTTTGACGCCACTTGTCCAGTCTTTTTAGGTTTTTTTAAGGCCAAGATGCCTTAGTTTCAATGTCATATCCATATATCCATGTTTTGTCACCAAAAGTCAACAATTTTGCAATAAACTCTGATGATACGCATTTCATACCCAAAAAATTCGAAAAAATCCCGTAGTACTCGTAAACAATTGTTTAACTCATAGCAGACTCGCCATAGGGCCTTGTTCCAGTTGTACACAAGTTGTAATAGATTCCATGTTTTACGTAAAATTTGATACTAAAGTTGTATTACCTTAGCGGCTGCCACAGCTAAAGTAAACAATGAATACAGCTGGAAATTTTGTCATACTTCAGTGGCATGTATACCAATAATTATTTTCTGAACACACTTCGTACATTTTGTCTCTTTGATGCAGATTGTAAAGTTTTCGGTTCGTATGTATAAGGTTTTATTATTTCCCAATGTTTTTCGATCAACAGGAAATATGCATTTCTCATTTCCATATTTATATACAGTTCTTTCTATAAAATCGTATGACGTGGACCTGAACAAAATGCAATATTGAATGAAGGTTTGCAAATTGAATCAATTTATGTATGTAGATTTCATTCTGATAGCTTCTGTCTCTTTCTGGGTGACGACTATAAATTGGAGTCAAACTGAAGGATGATGCGTATATTTATGTAACATTGATCGTATGTATTTTCCATTGAATATGCAATGCATAATAACTCTATAATCATTTGACAAATCATCAAAATGCACACCGCACCACCTGGGCTGGGAGGTTTTTTGAAAGTACCACCAAATGTATTCATCTCAAACTTTCACGTTGAGTTAGCTTTTTCAATTCATCACGGTATTGCTCTAAACCACTAAAATTGTCTCTGGGCTCAAAGCTGTTGTAGGGGATATAAGGGATCAAAATTTACCATTAGGACCACATTGCAGTGTATCTGTATGTATGCAAAAGTTGCAAAAACTAAAATGAAACGAAATAGTTAACTTTTTTCCTGCACAGTTAGGGAATAAGGATATGTGATGTCTTAATCCAAGATCGAGCTGTTAAAGTAATTCTGAAAAATATATTTTTTAAACAATTTGTTGTTATGATAGAGTTCATAGGTACATAGATGTGTAAAATACATACTTTGCCCAAAGAATATCAGGGTCTTACGACGTTTGTCTATACCTATACAACATTCGTTGGTTCGGCAAGTACAAAAAACGTTAAAATGTTTAAACTAGACTTTAGACGCAAATATGCTGGTAGTAACCTCTTCTTGCAAAAATAGCTCACTATAATACCGTTTTATGTAGTTTTCATTAAAGTAAATTTATTTGTTTTCAATGATTCCCATGGGACTCGGACGGATCAGTCCAGAATATATACTTGATGACATTTATGGTGACATTTGGCAATACAGGAAATCCATAATTCAGCTGGGTTAATTGGTCTCATACGTAATCTACCGCTGAAATAATGTTCAGCTTAATAATTACATACAATATGTACACCCAGGAGTCGAGGTCTGTATACATACATGTTTGACTGTCACTCGCGGGAAAATATTTATAACTGCAAAAACATTCTTACAATCTTGTAACTAAATTTTGAATAAGTTAATCCGAACCAATTGAGCTGAAATTTTGTACACACATTAGGTTTGCATAACAGCACAAAATGAATGTTCAATTCAATACGGCTGATGCTACAAAATAGCGGTTCATCATTTCCGTATTAATCTGATGATCGAATTTAAAGGTTAGAGAGAAACACAATAAGCTAAGTGACGTCATTCTATACCCAATATAGCGGCTGCCGTAAAATGGCGATTTACATTTTCCAGTCACACCTATAGTATGATTCACTTGATTTTATTTGTCACAAGGTGACCGAAGAGTTAGCAACTATTTCAACTAAATATCTGTGGTTGCACTTGTCGCTCAATAACACATGGATACTGACCCGCGAGACAACCACAGGATGACTTTTAGGAGTTATTTTCCATAATGCCTATGCTAGGCTTTTCTATAACGCATCTTGTTTTAAACGTAAAATATCCTAGATCTTTCTGCTGCGTTCTATATCAGTCCAAGAAAATACGTACAACAAAATTTATCGAAACTGTGAATATTTTCCATTGAACATCTGCCGAACGAGTTAATTACAGCTTGTGACTCGACAAAACTAATTGAGGATGCGACAGGTAAACAAGCAATGAAAAATCCTCGGAAAATTCGGTCACGGCCACCATTGGCTTCCTATTTCTCGTCGTGATTTTTCACCTAGATCTAGGGCGCTTCCCTAGGGCTCACATTTTGTACGTAAAGAGGATGCAAACCTAGATCCGTATCGTTGATGAAATCAGGCAGTTGAAATACTAGATGGATAGATTTCAAGGTCATTTGACAAGGTGACATCAGTTATTAAAACTAGGTCAAAGGCTCTTGGCTGGAAAGCAAAGGTTTTTGATAATTAGAAGGAGGTACGAGGGTTGTTTCCCATGTTCGACTCCTGATCTCCGTGCAATAAAGATATATATCATTTATATTTTTATTTTTCTCCTGAATCCTATATAACAACAATGCTCATGTCTAACCGGTCCTCCAGCATTTTAATAACTTCTGTGTCTACTGAAAAAAACTCCTCTGCCTTAGTTATAATATATGTTGCTTACTTGAAAATTTCTTTTCTTGTAAAAATTGTTTTAATTTTGGAAAAGTTATGAAATTATGGAGACAGTCATGCCGAATGCAGAAGGTAATCTTCCAATTTAATGCCTGTTTGGGGCAGCATACCTATAACAATGCATGAGGTTAGGTTGGGTGTGTTATCGTGACAAAGCAATGCGCTAATTGTTAACTTGTTGAGGATGTCTGAATCAATTATTGGCAACACTACCCATGATGTAATGTTCCCTGTTCCGTGTGTTCTGTGAATTTATTTTCTGTTATGCATGTGAAAAACGTGTACCAGTAGGATGTGAGTATGATCGATGATGTCATTAGAGGCAGCCGTATCGGCAGCGTGAATATAAAGTAACATCTGAAAGTTATAATTTGAATTACATGTCGATAAGTCCTCATTCTTCTATGTCCAATAAAATCACATGTATTAACAGAATCTTCTGTACTGTAAACGTTTCAATAACAAAGGTGATCTTCTTCAGTACAAGACAATATATTTTATTTACATATATGTATGTCTTCTAGGTGATAGTTCGATTGTTTTTCTCTTTTCATGTAGTTAGCCTCAATATTACATAAAGGGGATAACAATTACAAAAGGAAGGCAAAATAAACAACATTTGTCTTTCTAGTTCTGCTGTGGACTGTGGCCCAATTTGGTTGAGTTACCTTGCAGCACAAATCTAATTGATATTTAGATTTCAGATCCAAAACAATGCACTTGCAACGTTTTAGTGGAGGGTAATGACATCTAACCGGTGTGTTACGACTACAGTTCTGGCTACGTTTTTGGAGAGTTTTTGGCGGGTTCGCGACAATGCATCAGGGTGATGTATCTGGTACATTAAAAAAACGACAACAAAATGTGGTGGAAGCTGTTTTTTACTTAAGCACTTTATAAATGTTTTGGTCTGTCGATACAGCTACCGCACTAAGAAAAGCGGCACTAACGTATATCATAAAAAAAACTTCATACTCTCGAACATTTGCCACAATATTTTGATGAATTTTGGTGGACACATACACTTTATGATAGGAGATCCATTCCTATTAAAATAAGGATTTGACAAGGTGTCACATATGGACCAAAATGATGACAGCTAGCCTTGTAGCTCCGCCGTCACTGGACCGACTTTATAAAAAGCTTTTTCGTTCTTCGCATGGTAGTTAAGGACAGATCCACAGATAGACAGACAGGTAGACCGACGGAAATGAGTGCTATGATGTACATGTTACAACACCAAAAACAAACAGTGGGAAGTAAATTAGTTAATTTTACGTTCTATTCCGCTTCATTAGATGAATTTTGAAAAATTTGAGTTATGGGTTTTGGTGTCAAACGCGTCATATTAAAATATTTTAAAAGTGCAATTAAACAGTTGTACATACATACAAGTCCTATATGTTAGCTACGATGTTTTCACTTATTAAGTAAATTTTATTTTGCCTGGTACGGCTTGATATTAATTTGTATATATTGCGTTTAATTTCAGAGGACATATATACATTTTTGACGAAGTTAACACTCGCTTAAGTATTTATTGGTTGGAAACCCAAACAAGCAAGTTTGAGAAAAATATTATTTTGTTTCAGATGGACTTGCAGCGAAGAGGGCACGGCTCAGTCGGGCAACAAAAAGGAAGAAGATTCTGGAAATGCTACTTCAACGCTGTCACATGTTTCTGATTATGTTAAGTGTGGTCCATTGTAAAAACAATATACAGTGAAATTCATTTACATTTTTGAGCACTGCTTTCAACGTGTACGAGAGAGAGAGGGAGACAGAAGTGTGCAACACAGTATTGCATATACGTATGCTAGAAAGAGTGCGCCTCATAAGCATGCGACAGTAGGGGAAGGGGCGAAGTGCGACTGTACGCGTTACCAAACGTTACACCGTTTTCTTGAATTATGATGCATGGTGGAAGTACAAGCAAACAATGGTTTTATTTTGAGCGAACTGTGTCGAATCGATTTTGAACCGATTCCGGACCAGTCTTAAATTTTCCTGGATTTCAGGTGGAATGGAAACTTCAGAATCACCACAAAGTTTTTGCATTATTGTATCATTGAATTGACAACATCGCATAGCATAGATTGATGATTGGCCACTGCTATTAACACTTTTTCCAACAAATTCACCACAAACGCTGTATTTAATATTTTCACTCATATCAACGTAAGTAAAGGGTTTTGAAATAAGGCTGCGTCAACGTCGAAATGAAATAAAAGAAGTTGTGCATGATGTATGAACGATATTCGTTTTTATAAGAAATTACATTCCATTGGAATTTCTATGGCATACTGCATCGTAGGTTCGCAAAGTGCTATGGATTTACTTTTGTAGCTCGTACAGCTAGAACAAGTGAACATGAAGTGCATGACAACTAGTTCCAAGTTGAAATTTTTTTGGAAATCGTACATAATGTCAAAAAACTAACATAATACCATAAAAATTTCTATTATGTCACTTTTTAAGTTACGTACTCCGGGTGCGGAGTTCAATCGATACTTGTTGGAAAAAAGCGCTAATAGCACTGGACTATCACGAATCTAGAGATCTGGATACCTTGCGTTGGAATCTACCAAGATGCGATGTTGTCAAACCAATGACGTAATCTTGCAGAATTAGTGTCGATCCTGAACTGATCCGAAATCGATTCTAAACCAATTAGACACAATTCGCGATTGAGAAACATGTACTCTCAAAATAAAACCATTACTTAGGCTAGGAAAAGAAGCTAAAGCGTATAAAATGTAATATTTGGCAACGCGGCAAATTACAGCCGCACTTTTCTCCACGCTCTAACATACGAGTTACATGATGTTGCATGCTTCTCTCTTCTGTATATATTGAAAGGGATACCTAAGAACTTGAATGAATTTCACTGTATATATATATATATATATATATCATGCTCCAATTAACTGAAAAATATTCTATCTAATCGTTGAATCTAATGATATTTAACTAATCCTTCTCTATAGTTGTATTTTTTAAATCTTGCAATGTCATTCATATGAACGAAAAAGCAACTTGAATAAAAAGATTCACTATTGTCATTTTCTCTGCATTTATTATGTGATATATCACATTCTAAAGCTCTTACACAACACTTCTCTTACTGGTAGGCAGACAAAGATTACCAGGATAGGAAATATACTGACACATAAATCCGAACACCCAGTTTAAATGGTTTTATTTTAATAAAAGTTGGTGAATGTATTTATCTTACTGTAAATAACAAATGAAAAAATTTTCAGCCTTATCAGTTGGACATTCCGGTTTTTATACTGCTTTTTTTTAATTCACTAACGCTCTAAAAATGAATATTTCAGCCGCAGTAAAGAATCAACGTTGGCGGATTTTGGTTCTTGACATCCTTTACGATCGGTTACGATGCCTAGAGTACGGAGACCTGTACGATTTCGTCAACTTAGTGAGTTTGATAGGGGCCGTATAGTGGGACTTCGGGAAGCTGGACTTTCTTTTCGGGCAATTGCAGTTAGAGTGCAAAGAAGTGTAGACACTGTTGTTAGGTGTTGTCAGGCATGGCTTCGAGAAGGCCGTACGCAAAGAGCAAGTGGCACTGGACGCCGCCGTAGAACAACAGACCGAGAAGATCGCCGCCTAAGATTATTGGACTTAAGGGACCGTTTCTCCACTACCAGGTCCATTGCAAATGAATGGTTTGCAGAACACGGAAGACCTATTGGCATGCGAAGTGTTTACCGACGAATGAGAAGTTTTGGCTTGTTTTCATACCGGCCACACTGGGTCCTCCCTTTAACTCGAGAACACCGACGTAATCGCCTTGAGTGGTGCAGACAACGGTCACTCTGGGATCAGGAATGGAACAGTATTATCTTTAGTGACGAGTCTAGATTTTGTTTAGGCATGCACGATGGTCGTGCCAGGGTTAGAAGGCGACGTGGTGAAAGGAGGAATCCACAGTTTTTTGTTAAAAGACATGTTCATCCAACTTTCCAACAAGATAATGCCCGACCACATGTTGCAAGAGTCACAATAGACTTCTTTCAACATAATGATGTCACATTGTTACCATGGCCACCAAGATCTCCCGACTTATCCCCAATTGAGCACGTGTGGTATATGATGGGTAGCAGATTGCTCAATTTGCAACGTCCTTCTCAGACTCTAGAAGCACTTTGAGAGGAGTTGGTGGTTGCCTGGAATGAGATACCACAGGAGGACATTGACCACCTGATCAGAAGCATGCCTAGGCGCGTTGGAGAATGCGTAGCACATCAGGGTGCATCCATCCATGGTCAAAGGGCTTTAAAGCAGTGCAATCATTTTGAAATTTTTATCATTTACTTATTATGCTCCATTAAGTACTTATACAAAATTTTATTAAAATAAAACCATTTAAACTGGTTGTTCGGATTTATATGTCACTTAGTATACTTATCTAGTTATATGCACCTGTAAAATAAAAGCTATCTAAAAATTCTTTAGTAGACCTAACTGATTTCTTCGGTAGTCAGGTAGTGATTGATAATTCAGACTTGATGATTTCCAACGAAACAGCTGCCCAGCCGCCATTCGGAGTCTTGAAAGAATGTGATTCAACAAAATTTGCCTATTAGTAGTAGCAGTAGTGGTGAGATGGTGAAACCTGGCAACTAGACCACCTTTCCTTTTTTGCTGACCCCGTAGTATCAACACTGTGCCAAGAGCCATCTACTGGTAACATATTTAATCAGCCAGCTCTAGCGAGGAGATGTACCTATTGTTAATATTGCATCTACATGTATGATATAGACAACACATAACACAACATCAGTGGCTCGGAGTGATACATCTTAGGCGGAAATTCGAACCCGCGGGACTCGGGAGCTACTGAGGCTGCTCGTTTTCTAAAATTGAGGTGTGTTTTACAAAAACAACATATCGAAAAACGATTTATTTCAAAACTAATAATTTTCTAGGATACTTTTTTGTTAATTACTATTAATAATAGCTTAAAAAATATGCTCTTCACTAAAATAAATATGTGTGCTTAAGTAATCAAATATACACATATAAAAACTGTTGGACATAGGACGTTTTTGTAAGAAAAAAAATACGAAGTTTGAAGAACATTACCTTTATTTCCACTGCTATTGTCGTCTTCTTCAATGTCGGAGTTAGGTGTACTATTATCAAGGATACTTTCGTAGTACTATTTGTTAGTAGTTCATTGTAGTGTCTTTCAAGTTGGATAGTGCAAGGTAAATTTGCTTTAGCAACGATACTCCTTCGAAATGGTCCGTTATAGGTATCCGTTAATAATAGTGTGGCTGCTTGGTTAGTAATTCGCATAATCCTGATGTTTTTAATGTTATTAGCGAACTTTGGATTTTTTAGGAAAAAGTTGGATATGGCGAGTTTTATATCAAAGAAGTCGTATTGCTTTCACCAAATTAAATGGGATGGATTTCATTCTGGCATTTTAAATTTACAGTAAAAAGCACACATTTCCCATCCTGTAGCGGACTTGTGTGGTATTTGAATGAACAGCAGGGGACACTTATGTACTTTTTGCAGGAACCTCGAAATTTTTACTACTTAAATCTTAGCATTTATGTCGTTTTCTCAGAATCTTTTTTGGCGGCCTTAAAATCATCCTCTTTTGTACTAGATGGTGTTACTAAGTCAATTTCGTTAAATTTGGACTTATGCGGTTTTTGTAAAGCATGCCTCAATTTCTTTCTTAGATCGAGACTTGCTGAAGTTATAAAAGTTATACACATGATAAAAGATCAATAAGTTGAAGTGGTTGAGGCTTGACCAGTTGTTTACGTATCATATGTTCATTTTAGTACAGAGACTTCTATATAATAAGGTACTGATCTTCTAATTGAAACTTATTCAACGTAGCAACTTCAGGCATCAACATATCTCATTATAAAATTAATATTTTCTATGACAGCTTCACCTACAATGCTGTACGTATACTGCTCTAAGTGATACTTGTAAAAGCAAAGGTCTAGCTGCATTAAAAAGGTCATCAAAGATCTTCTGGGGACTGTCAGCCAAACTGAGTTGATTTAATTATAATTTTGGATATGATAGTACAGTTAGATACTATTATCTTAATCAACATTTATGCACTATCCTGTTGATCCTGTTTTGATTTTTATACAGATAATATTGTTTTTTTGCGGTGATCATACATTGGCGACGTAGTTGTCCAGCTTATTACACCTTCAAGCCTTTTTATCTCGTTAATATGACCGAGTCTGTTTGATTTTTTTCCTTATGTTAATGAGTCGTTATTTTTTCTAAGTTTTACGGTTGAGTGGTAGAGTAGCCAGCAGGCGTAACTACGCCCTATTGCGTGAAAACAATAAAGGCATTATTACGTATTTAAATAAATGTTATATATATTTTTTATTCTAACAGGCCAGTAATGAACTTTCACTATAACCTCGATCATCTAATGAATGTCCATATTTTTAGAACGTATCATAGCATACAAATATTCTACGAAATCGAAAGCAGCTTGAAATGTTAGAAATCAACCTAATATTTTGGATAATATGTTAATATACGGACATACTTTTTAATAGTCCATAGTTTCAGTATAGACACTTCACAAAAATGTTGGTCCTCTTTGGTTCTACTACATCAAAACTATAACGACTGGGCTATGAAGTTGACACACGGAAGTTGAAGGTATATTGATTTTTTGTCCCTTTTCATCAGATGTATTTCTGACTTCCAAGATATAGATGGCACTGCTGTACGATATTTACAAGTACTCACTAATGAAGCATCTCCATGATAATGAGTGCCAAATCCTCGCAGAGTTTGTAGAGCTTAAGGTGAGACAACTGTACAATTGGCAGATAATCAGTTTGCAAGTGTTGCTGCGCAAATTATAGGAGGAGGCTATAGTAAATCTCCATTTTTTTGCCGCTAAATGGAATCACATTATGTTGAACTGAATGTTTACCTACTTTTCGGTCACCTCGCTGTGATTTTTTTGGAATGCATTATGTAAAAGGCCGCCGGAGTAACCAAAACGTTAGCAAACATTAAATCCAATCTATTCAATCAATCACAACTTATTTATCTTGCATACTTAATATTACACAAATATTTCATTTTTCAAAATAGTTTACGATACATAGCGGCACGAGGCCGTCGGCATTATGCCTGTAAGCTCCTTCGCCTAAGTCAGTTTTCATTGGGTTGTCCGAAAAAGGGTAATATCAATTTATTTGTACCGGATATCTGGCAGGAGCGATCTCATTGTATTTGTGCGAGCATCTGATGATCGTAAGGCTACTACTACTATCTGCCTTGCCCGCGTGGCTCTATACCTGTAAGCCTGCTTTATATGTAGCGGGGGGTGCTAAGGCCGGAGAAATTCCACCTCCATTCCTTGTGTTGTCCTCTGCTTTGACACCCCGGCTGCTGAATGGCTAAGTAATAATAATAATAATAATAATAATAATAATAGTTTTATCCAACAGTTTCCCATTTATAGGACAATTTATAAACATAATACAAAAGCGAAAAAATGCGAAAAGAAAACAACAAATGCAACCAGGTATAAATTTGTAACATGAGCTATTGGTCCGAATAAGCCTTAGCTGCCTTTAGCAGGTAATTAACATTTGTCGTAAATATATCACAGTAACATACAATTCTGTTTAAGTTAGAGCACATTACATATAACGGTGACTTGAGAAGAATGTTTGTCCTAGCTCTACGAAGCCCGAATATTTTATGATTGCGAGATGCAAACGTTGGAGTACGAAACTTGATCTGTTCCAGGATCATGGGGCAATCAATTAAATTGTTGAGCATTTTGTAGCCAAATATTATTGATGCACAATACCTACGTTTTTTCAAAGTCAACATGTCTAAGCGACTACATAGTTCCTCATTACTTATACCTCTCTCTGGATATGAACCATCAATCCTAAACAGAACAAACTTCATAAACTTCCGTTGTACTCTTTCAATAGCTGTGCTATAGCATTCATAGTAAGGGCTCCAAATAATACTACAGTATTCGAC